AAATGCCTTAGAAGAGCTGCAGGAGTTTTGAGGAAAGACAGAATACGAAATCAGACCAATGCTAGGAATAAAATCAGTCTTACAAGTCATCAAAGAACAAAAAATGATGTGGTTTGGACACCTAACAAAAATGCTCTGGTACTATCTGCCACAGCGAACCACACTAAAACGTTACAACGGGTATAGAGCGAGTGGAAGACCTCGGAAAATAGGGAGTGATGGCATTAAGAACAGCCTTACAGAAATGAACATATCTCCCGACACTTAACTAAGGTACAAGGTGGAAGAGAAGAAGAAGAGAAGAATGTTTCATTAATAATAATAATAAGAACTCCACACGGTACCATGCACAGCAGGGGTCCACCTGTCATCAGTAGAGAGATCTTTTGTCGACAATTGTTTCAGCCCGTTGATTCCCTAAACAATCTTAGAAGATGGGCCGACCTGGGTCATGAAGCCAGGCCCCGATCCTCCCCGGCTGCACTTTATCAGACTCGATTGGAACAAGACGATATGGTGACTTAAAAGGTGCTGTGAGATTTGGTGTTATATTGTTGCTGCAGTAGCAGATAAGCTTTAGTTGACTACCTTCACGACCAGAGTGACAAGCTTATGGTTGGTTCACCGAAAAATCTTTTGACTTTGGCGTTTGGCAGAGAGACACAGGCAGACATTTTTCGGACGTTTAAGCCAGAGCCAGCTCGAATCTCTTTTAGCAGCTTTGCCCAGTTGTTTTAGTGACCGTTTACGCTTGTTTCCTCACAAGCTCAGCTGCTTTAGTGCATTGTACATGGAAGTGGAGATAAGACCTCCTGCGCCTACCTCGAAGGCAAAGACTTTTACTGTGTACGCTTCGTCTCTCCTCAGACCGGCCACGAGATCCCTGTACTTCTCCAGCTTGTACAGGTGATTTTCGACTATTCACGACTCATACAGCATGGTCATCTCAATCAGGATGAGCTGGTGTTTTTTCACAGAGTGTAGAACTATGTCAAGTCTCAGGCCAGTCTTCTGGATTGACTCTGGGTATCTTTCGAACCAGGCAGGTCGACAGCCAGTAACCAGTCCCTTGCGCAATCTTACCTGTTCTTTGTTGAATGCTATTTTTGTACCTTTTGGTTGGTGTTCTTTCTGGTCTGTTTTGAGCCTTGCTTCCATTTCTCATATGCTGAACATTTGCAGATGGCACACACTCTTTACTTTTTACTCAGATTATTAGTGCCATCACTATCATTCATGTTTCAGATGTTGTAATATTTTTTGCAAGACCATCTCTTCTTCTTGTTGTCCAGCAATAATCATTTACCTTTTTAATGAAAAATACATTGTGTTTGTATCATCATATAAATCTTCTCCTTGACTTATGACTTATTTGAGTTATGACCATCTACACTTACGACTACACAAAATAAATATATACAAATATTAACTAAAGAAAGATAACAACATTTGTAGGGTCAAAAAGTTCCTAGAACTCATGCTTAGAAACCAGCAGGGTCTCTACATCAGAGTCTGAGTCTACCGCGTATGGCAGACCGTCTGGAACCACAGTTTGAATTAAAATAGAAGTTGAAAAATATGAATCTAACTTAGACCTGTTAGTTGGAACAGAACTCAGTGGTAAGTCGAGGAGACCCTGCATTTGTTACAAGTTAAAAAAAAAAAGATGCTAAATCTTCCAATATTTATCATGAAAAAAATTTAAGAGCAATGTATTTTAACAGATTTTCCAATGATGATGTGATCCATAGTCACAATGAGGTTGGGGCGCCTGCGTCGTCTGCTCAACCAGCATACTACACTGGATATCCGATGTGTGTCCTCTTTACTACTGCCTGGCTTGATGGGCTTGTGTTTGGGGATGACCCTCAGCATGATGTATGCACCATTCAGCGATGACAGCTGTGAAACCTTTTTCGCCCACCAAGACCCACAGAGTTTGATCAAACTCAGGGACACAAAGTCTGTAGACTCCAACACAGATGAGATGTATGAGCCACGGCAGCTAGATGTTGAAAATATAGACTTCTCTGCTTATAAATTAGACACTAAAGCTGGGTCTAAATTTTATAGACCTAAATTTGCAGCAACAGAATTAGGTATTCGACAAAAGCTCTTTGTAGCTGTGCTATCATCAAAAGATTCTCTTAACACCCGAGCTGTAGCCATCAACAAAACACTTAGTCGTTATGTCACGAAAACCGTGTTTTTCATCGATGAGAAAGCCTCTGTCATTCCTTCAGGGATGATGATTGTGAACTTTGAGGATGGCTACAACCATCTTCTACCCATCAATGTTTTAAAATATGTGATTAGAAAGTATGGCAAGGAGTATGATTACTACATGTTTTTGTCTGACAAAGGATATGTACGGGCAGAAAAAATATTTGATCTAGTCAGCCTTATCAGTGTTAGTAAGCACGTCCATCTAGGAGCCCCTAAAGCTGTGGAAGGTGGGAAAACTTACTGTGCTGTTGATGGTGGTGTGATTATTTCTCAGGTAAGTTTTCTGTATTTTGTATGTATTTGTGTCCTGGATTTCTTCTGCTTCTGCTGCTTTTAACTCTTTCATTTCTAGGTGATTGTTACTTTCACACCGCAGTTCTCAAATCATGGGTATAATAATAGAATAACAGCATTTGAAATGTAGGTGTTTTAACTAATTAAGTAGAGGGGAAGAGGAGAAGAAGCAGACCAAGAAAGACCTGGGTACAGAACTTGATTGACTGGACAAGCCTTAGGCATGCAACTATTAAGTCCATTGCATCTGACCATCAAAAGTGGAGGGATCTGATTAACAGCAACTGTTGACCCAACGACACACAGTGTTACTGGACGACAATGATGATGATGCACTAATTCAACTGTAGAACAGAATGGGTTAAAATAACATAATATGTCATTAATGAATGTATTTTGAGTCACCTAGTACTGAAAGAGTTAAAAGAAAATGTGGTTGCCACATTGTGTTCTGGTTACATCTGGGCTGCTGTATGTGAACCTTTCAAACCAACATATCCAATTTGATCAAACCCCTAACTAGTCACTTTTTATGATCTGCTTGTTGGGAGGAGGGGACATGAGTTTTTTTCTTCAACCCATCCCACCAAACGGAGCCCTTATAACATACCCATTTGAACACACTATGTGTTCTTGAATATAAAAAAGATCCTTTTGTTTGTTGGTAATACTAGTTTTTTCATTCACTTGCAGCCGAGCAAGGGGTCTGGTTTTTGTCCCTATAAGTGGCCTGTTCTTTCTCTCATATGGATCTGGGGTTAACACATTCTCTTAAAATTTGGTACAAGTAATTTACAATAATTTTAAGGGAGCTGTCTGGAAAGGAAAAGTAACAAAGGTGAGTTGATTGTGATAGCAAAGGATAGGACGAGAGTTGATAGTGATAACAAAGGATAGGATGAGAGTTGATTATGATAACAAAGGATAGGGTGAAAGTTGATTGTGATAGCTAAGGATAAGATGAGAGTTGATTGTGATAGCAAAGATTAGGATGAGAGTTGGTTGTAATAGCAAGGGATAGGATGGGAGTTGATTGTGATAGCAAAAGAATGATGATAGTTGATTGTGATAGCAAAGTATGGGATGTTAGTTGATTGTGACAGTAAAGGATAGGATGAGAGTTGATTGTGAAAGCAAAGGATGGGATGAGAGTTGATTGTGATAACAAAGGATAGGATGAGAGTTGATTGTGATAGGAATGTATAGGATGAGTTGAGTGAGATAGCAATGGATAGGATGAGATTTGATTGCGATAGCAAAGAATAGAATAAGAGTTGATTGTGATAGGAATGGATAGGATGAGAGTTCATTGTGATAGGAACAGATAGGATGACTCGGCATAAGATGGTGGAAAGCCTGTGCTCCAATGGGAATAAGGGCTGAAGAAGTAATCTTTGAGTTTTGGGTTTAAATATGAGTTATATTCCTCTTCTTCTTCTTTCATTTGCTTGAAATAGATGATCTATATCTGCAGTTCTGTCTTTAATATGGACTTCACTGTCTCTTGTAATTCAGTCAGCCACCTGTAAGGTTTGGCTTGCACCGGTGTTTCTCGTGGCTAAAAGTTTTGCCTGGATAAATTGTAGCGGGACAGTCTTGGAGAATGTGATCTGTTGTCTCATGTGCTAATCCACATGTACACACGCCTGATTCGCCAATCTTAAATTTTCTGTACAGGTGGCTGCGAAGTCCAATGTGTCCTGTTCTAAGGTGCTGAATAATGACTTGCTCTGGTCTGTCTGTCATATGGTAATCATCTTTTGCCTGTTTTGGTTGTTTTCTGATTGATTTGCTTATTTCTTCTTATCAGCTCTTTCATTTCCGGGAACTCCACAGTGGGATTGTAATTGCTTATCTACCTTACACCGGTTGCCTAGTTTAGAGAGTAGTTTCCGAATACCTGGTAATTTTCCAGATACGAATGCGTAAGGTACCGCTCTTGCACCTGGCAGGAATATGACATATACAGTATTTAGTAGTTGCTCTGCTGCTATTTTAATGGCTCAAGCTTCTGCAAGAAAAATATAGAACCTGCAACAGGAAGTTAAGACACATTTTTTGACAAAGGTTAAACAGTAGGAACAATAGAAGTAATGGGACACTTCAGCGATTAAATATCCCACAGAATTCAGTATCAAAGTTAAGCTAACTAGTCTAAAGCTCGATGCGTTGATCCAGGTCGCAGGCATGAGGAAAAGGTAATGCCGTTATGATGTGTTAAAGAAGATTCTTTGTACCTTACCCTCTGGCTCCAGCAGTCTCTGTGTCGGTTCTAAGCCTTCTGCCACACATTCTCGTCATGCTCTACGGATATTGGCTAATATTGGCCTAAACCAAACTGGCATGGGATCTCAGGGTGGCACCCAGAGATGCCGTGTCCAGAAACCCCTGGCTCTGATCGGTCCACCCCAGATGCATGGGTAACAGTTTGCATTGAAAACTCATTTGGAACATGAGCGAAGCACGCCTGCCGAATTCCCTACTATAGGACAAACCTTGGTTCAAACGTCTGTCGATCGAAAGTCCTACTGAATTGCTGATTAGGCTAAAATGTTTGTCAGTCAAGTTACCTTCCACATAAGAACAAAGTGTTAGTCAAATGTCCTACTGTGTGATAGGCACGGTTCAAATAACCTCCACCATTGGTCTCATATGAGTGTAGGGACCAAAAGTCCAACCATCAAATGTCCTACTGTTTGACAGACATGGTTCAGATATCCGTAAATTGCCCTACTATTTGACAGAAAGGTTCAAATGTCTATTGGCTCCCACTCGTCAGTGTCGGGGCCAAACAGGAAAGCCATGCCTGATGCATGCTTTTCTTATACTGTTGTCCTGTCTTGATGCAATAACTTAAAGGTGTCTAGCACACCGAAGAAGATTGTGCCCAATTGAGTGGTCATTGAAGTCCGGGACCTGCAGACGGCTCCCTGTTGATCTCAAAAGGGTGCAGCCCTTGATGAAAGTGAAGCTCAAAATACGAATGTCAGGTTAATCAGTAATTTGCAGGATACTTTGGGAGAGCCCAAGACCTATGCAATGTTTGTCGGCTTTTCATTTGTGGAAGCCCCCTTAGATGTGATAGAGAGTTGCGGGGGGGGGGGGGGGGAGAGGGGCTTGCTTTGCCCCTGTCTTCCCTTCAGATCAGTTAGTTGCCCTGGATGGTTTCTTTATGTAGATGAAGGGTCAAGTGTATAAATTATTTATACAACCTTATTATTTATGCAGCCTCATTAGTGTGTATTATATGACAGTAACAGTAGGATTTTTTCTTCTTTATGGGAACGGATTTACCATTCTCCCTTCCTTTCAGCTGGGGACATTTATTTGGTGTACATACTGTTTGGTATACGTCCAAGAGTCAGGAGCGGATCAAGTACGTACACCGAGGTATTGCTGTATTTGAAAAATGAGGCGAGAGTGTTTAGAGCCAGTCCATATTTATGATGTAGCTCACACCACAGGAACAGTCTTGGTTGGCTGGCTAAACAACAAGTGTCAAGTAGGGTTAATATCCTACTAGGCAACAGAAAATTTCCATCCATAGTAAACAGAAGACTGGGGGCGGTGAACGTAGCGGAATAATCAGACTGGGACGATGAAACAAAGCGGAAGAATCTTTACGCATAAACAGCTTGTGCAGCGAAACAGCAAAGTGTGTGGTACACAGAGGAATGTTTAGAACACGACAAGGAACGAAGTTATTGTGATAGAGATTGGGGCCTCACCGTATAATACCTTCAGTAGAGCATTGAAGGAACAACATTTAACAATGATCATCATCACCAAGTGCTTTGACGTCTGGCGTGAGCAATCATGTCTTCCCACAATCTGCGATCCGCAGAGGTTTGGAGTCCGCCTCGGGTGCTGGAGGTCCCTGGTTCATGGGCCCCGGTGAAGGCTGGGAAATTGTTTCCACGTGGACTAGTACTTTTACCTGGTCTTTGGGTATTAGGATCGGACGCCCGTGTGTATTCCTGCGCACATAAAAAATACCTTGGCAGCTGAAAATCGAAAAGAGTAGCCTAACGGCGCTGCCCGGGCGAAATTTGGAGTTAAAAATCTACCCAAAATATTTCAGGATAATCGCCGGTGTCAGGCCTCAGTTAGAAGTTAGAAAGAAGCACTTGTGGGTTTTACCCGTATGCTATAATGTTGATCTGTTGAATAAATAAAAGTTCGTGTGTTGACACAACTCCACGCCATGACAAAAGACTGTCATGAACCTTTTCATGCTGTCTTCCTCTGTCTCTTTTTCCAGTTTTTTCTAGTGTTCACAACATGTTCCATTTTCCCTCTTTTCGTAACATGACACAAACAAATGACGACTATTTCTGATTTAAAGGAAGTGATACTGGTAATTTTTGACCAATGTGCCTATACTTCTAAGAGAGCAGTGATTCAGGCAAAATGTAAGGAAACAGGATATTGAAATTAAACACAATGGGCTTGTGTAATAAGAGCATGAAAATGAAAGAAGAGAATAACAAACACATACAAAGGAAAATTGCTGTATCTGAGGTAAAGATAAAGATATGATAGTAAATAAAAGCGACATAATTCCCTTTACTGGGTTCTGGGATCAATTTTGTTTAATGGAAAAGGAGAATATACCCACCACCCCTTAGCAAGCAAGTCTTCATCGCTACTTTATACTGTCAGTGTCAGACATGGACAGTGGATAGGTCACTATAACATAAAATAAGTACCTCTGAAATGCGCTGTCTGCGTAAGGTCACTAACAACACAAGAAGAGGCTGGGTTACGAATACCAACATTAGAGAGAAAGTTGGAATAAAACCGCGTCTGAATTATATTGACAGATAGAGAATGAAATGGTTCGGGCATCTGGTGAGAATGCAGCCAAACCAAACTGTCGGGCATCTAGTAAGAATGCAGCCAAACGAAACTGTCGGGCATCTAGTGAGAATGCAGCCAAACCAAACTGCAAATGAGATTTTTTTTTTACAGGAGGACGTC